GGGAGGGTGATGGAGGGGGTGAGGAGGAGGGAGGGAGTGATGGAGGGTGGTGATGAAGGGGGGTGATGGAAGGTGGCTGATCCGAGCTCATTTCCCATAGGTGGTTCTTTAGAAACCGTGATCGCTCAGGACAAGAACCTCCCGGAAGATGTGGTGAGGGAGTTTGGGGTGGACCTGGTCACTGGCTTGCACCATCTGCACAGGCTCGGTATCCTCTTCTGTGACCTCTCTCCTGGGAAGGTGACTGCTGGGCTCTGACTTTCTACTACCGCACGTCTCAACTCCGAGGGCTTTCTCTGTCTCTTGAGGGCTGAGGCGGGAGGACTGCCATAAGTTCAAGGCTAGCCTGGTGTACATAGTGAGTTCCAGAACAGCCTGGGTTACAGAATGCGACCCTGTTTAAAAAAAACCAACCCCCTACCAAACAACAACAACAACAAACCCTATACTGTTTTTAATCTATTTTTGAAAACAATTTAAAAATATAAAACCTTTTAGTTCACAGCTAAAAACAGTCGTGGATGTAGGCTTTAGGCCTGAGGCTGTGGTTGTGGGGCATTTACTGAGGTGGACTGCAAGGCTTTCAGGGAGGGTCTGCAATGTAAAATGCTCTATAAAACCTATGTTGGAAACAGTTTCTGACAATAAAGTTTTATTGACACACTGCCGCACCTGGGGCCTGGGTGTTACCAGAGGCTGCTGTTTTGAACAGCTTTGGAGCTGTGGGGTTAGGACACACTGGATGGTAGTCCGTGTCAGAACAGGTCTCCCAGGGAGACTGGTGGTGGTTTTCCAGGCCGCTGCGGTGGGTTAGCTGGCATCTGTAGTAAGGATCCTCATCTGAGCGAAGGCCGACCTTAAACTGCTCTCGGCAGAAGGCCTCCAGCCCTGTCTCTGTTGTCCTGCTGCATCTTCAGTGATGTGGCTAAAAGCGACGAGCTTCCTGGGCTGGCTCCAGCAGGCCACACTCAACTTCTGGTCACAAAGGGTGCTCGCCAGCTTGAGGCAGTCCCAGCCCTTTGCCTGTGAGATCTCTGTGAATCCCCACAGAGCTGAAAATGCCAGGGGTGGGGCGGGGGTGCCCTGCCCTCCCTGCTATATAGTGAGAAGCAGGGCTCCGGGGCTGCCGTGCCCCCAGGTCAGGCAGTGGGGAGCAGGTGACTTGGGCTCAAGTCTGTGGCCAAGCACTAGCTGTGGTCCCTCAGTTTAAAGCCCTATGCTTCCTGTCCTTTCTTGAATGGCACCGGGTAGGTGAGTCTCCAGACCTCCCTCACCTCTGCAGGGTCCAATGCTGTGTACTTCATATAACGTGCGTGTTATATGAAAGCCTCCCCCCCAAATAACTTTGATTCACAGACATTGTGGGTTTAGAGCTCAAGGATACAGAGGGCTGGCCATCTTTATCCTATACTTTATCTTCATCGTGCTTATCTTTCCCACAGCCCAAGGCTCCCTGGTGGCTGAGAAGGGGCATTCGAGAGCAGACAGTGCCAGCTTTGATTCTATTGTTACTGAAACGTCACATTGGCTGTTTTTTTAATTTTTTGTTTTGGTTTTGGTTTTGGTTTTCAAGTTTCAAGACAAGGATCTCTGTGTAGCCCTGGCTGTCCTGGACTCACTTTGCAGTCCAGTGTGGCCTCAAACTCACAGAGATCTGCCTGCCTCTGCCTCCCGAGTGCTGAGATTACAGGCGTGCACCGCTATGCTCGGCTCCATTGGCTTCTTCTTCAAAGCACAGTGTGTCAGCATTTTTCTGAGCTATGGCAAGGCAAAGAGGCTGCAGCGCCCAGGTGCTGTCAGGTCCCTGCAGAGGCTAGCATTAGGCTGCAGCCTGTCCCTGAAGACACTGATTTTCTTTCCACCTTCACAGATTCTCCTGGAAGGGCCCGGGACACTGAAGCTCAGCAATTTCTGCCTGGCAAAGGTGGAAGGGGAGAGTCTGGAGGAGTTCTTTGCCTTGGTGGCAGCAGAAGAAGGAAGTGGTGACAGTGGAGAAAACCCGCTGAAGAAAAGCATGAAAAACCGAGTCAGAGGTGGGCAGGCTCACGTGCCACACCTGAGCCATGTGCTTAGGAGGTGGCACCCGCATTCTGCCTCACCGCTCACCCACACGCTGATGAGAAGCATGACGGCGGGCTCTGGGAGTAAAGCAGCAGCATCCTTGGCTTGAAGTGGCGCTGTGGCGCTGATGGTCGTCAGGAAAGGTCTCTGACACGCAGGCATATTCTCACCGCCTGCCAGGCCAGGCCTGGCTCACTCAGTTCATGCCCAGCACACACCGATGGCTCCTTCAGTGTGCTCAGCCCTGGGGTGCGGCTGATCTTTGCAGTCCAGGCAGATCTCAGGGCGTGTTCTTGCTGGGGGAGAGGAGGGGGTGGACGGTGAGATGGTGCCAGCAGTCTCCGGGGTACCGTGCTTAGGGCTGGGGTGGCTCAGTAAGTAAAGTGCTTGCTGAGTGATCAAGAGGACCTGAGTTTGATCCCCTAGAACCCATGCAAAGAGAGCCAAGTGTGGCTGTGTACACCTGTAATCCCACTACAGGGGGTTGGAGATAGGGGCCTCCCTGGAGCTTGTGGGATGGACAGTCTAGTCAAACCAGTAAGTTCCAGGTTCACGAGGGACCCTGTCTGTTTCTTTTTTTTTTTTAAATAGAGATTTATTTATTTATTAACTATGTATACAGTATTCTACCTGCATGTGTGCCTGTACGCCAGCAGAGGGCACCAGATCACATTATAAGTGGTTGTGAGCCACCATGTGGTTGCTGGGAATTGAACTCAGGACCTTTGGAAGAGCAGACAGTGCTCTTAACCTCTGAGCCATCTCTCCAGCCCAACCCCTGGCTTCTACCTTCATTTGATACGCATGCATTCTCACATGCATTCTTGTGCGCGCACACACATACACACACACACACACACACACACACACAGCGGGTGTGAGTATGCGGATATGTGGGCACGTCTGTGCCATAGTGAGTGGAGGTTGGAGGGCAACTTGAAGCGGTCTCTCCTAATGTGTGGGTCTGGGACTTGAACTCAGGCCGTCAGTCTTGGTGGCAAGCCCTGGCTCTAGCAATTCTGTCCTGTGGTCCTTGCTGCCTTCCCTATGTCTTCCCATCTCAGCAGCTCTCTGTGCTGGAAATAACTCTCGTCTTTGCTCCCCAGGCTCTCCGGTATATGCAGCTCCGGAAATCGTGAAGGGGGCTGACTTCTCCGTCAGCAGTGACCTCTGGTCTCTGGGCTGTCTGTTTTATGAGATGTTTTCAGGTGACGACCTTGATCCATTCCAAAACCAAACCATACTAACCAAGAGCAAAGGACACAAGTAGTGTTTGTGAGTGCTCGTCCAGCCAGCGTCTTGAAACTGGCTTTGGACCATTTTAGTGTTCAGCAGCTTCCACTGAAGTGCTGCTGTGAGGCTGGTGGAGGCTCTCGAGCACTCGGGAGTAGCTGTCTCCGCAGTGTTGGAATGTCCCCACTACTGAGGAGTCTGTAGAAAGTCTCCTGTGCTTGTGAGCTAATGGTTCAGGTGTGTGAGGGCTGATTGGGGCCGGCCCTTGTGAACTTGGTGTTGGTTTGGAAAGTTAATACGTGGCCTGGTGCGCTTGCCGGGCTCGCAGTAGTTAGCAGTTGCTTTTTCCCTCCAGATAGTGGAAGTCTTGTGTTTCTGACAGCGCAGTTCCCTGGGAATACCTGCAGTGACTGTGTGGGTTCATGTGATTTCAGGGACGCCCCCATTCTTCTCAGACTCAGTGTCAGAGCTGGTGGAGAAGATTCTGTATGAAGACCCGTTGCCACCGGTCCCAAAAGGTAGGTGAGGAGCACATGTAAGCACCTTTTCTGACCGTCAGTCACCCCAGGCTGTTCACCGTCACAGCCGCAAAGCTACATCTGACAGCAGCTTCCAGTCGTACATTTTCCTTCCTGTGTTTGACACTGAAAGTGAGGTGTGTATACATGTGTGTGTGTGTGTGTGTGTGTGTGTGTGTGTGTGGTGTGTGTGTGCATGCATGCATGTGTGTTTATTCTGCTCCCATGTGATTGTTTTGGAGTTGCTTCTCAGCAGGAAGATTGGGATATTTCTCAATTCTGCTGGAAAATCCAAACACTTCCGTGTGGCTAGGGGCTCATGGCACAGTGCTTATCCTCGGACTGTGCCACAGTGCCCAGCGTTTGCTCAGCTGCTCCTGAGGTCGCTGTCCTGGCTGCAAAAGGGAGGTGACCCCAGTGGATGGCCCTCTGAGCATTCAGAGGTGATTCCAGCACGTGGTCCTCTGGGTGTGCAGAGGTGACCCTGGGCCTCTGAGCATGTGGAGGTGACCCTGGGCCTCTGAGCATGTGGAGGTGACCCCAGCACCCTGGGTGTGCGGAGGTGACCCCGGCCCCCTGGCACCCTGAGCGTGTGGAGGTGACCCCGGCCCCCTGAGCGTGTGGAGGTGACCCCGGCCCCCTGGCCCTCTGGGCGTGCGGAGGTGACCCCGGCACCCTGGGTGTGCGGAGGTGATCCTGGGCCTCTGAGCGTGTGGAGGTGACCCTGGCCCTCTGGGCATGTGGTGGTGACTCCAGCACGTGGCCCTCTGAGCATGCAGAGTTGACTCTGGCCCTCTGAGTGTTTGGAGGTGACCCCGGCCCCCTAGGCACCATGAGGGCCACAGCAGGGACGGCTCCGCTGTGTTTCATTATTTGTTATGTCTCTGTGGAAGGGGGGAGCTGCCACAGACTGCAGTGTGTTCTAGGGCAGAGCTGGTGAAGTTAGGACGCCTCGGGGAGCCCGGTGTGAGCTTGGGCTGGCACCCCCAGTGCGGTTATTTCAGGGAGTGTTCCTGGGGAGCTGAGATGGTGAGTGTGCATGCGTGAGATCGGGTCACAGGCTGTGTCTCTGCCCTATGACTCGCTGGCTGAGTGTGGTCAGTGGCTTCCATGCTGCCTGTAAAAACATCATAAATGCCTGGCACTGCTGCTTCAGGTGCTGCCAGCGGATAGTGGCACCAGGCTTCCCTCACCACCTCCATTTCAGAAAATGTTTGTCCACAGATTCTTCCTTCCCCAAAGCATCGTCAGAGCTCATTAACTTGCTGGACGGGCTACTGCAGAAGGATCCCCAGAAAAGGTACCTGCAGCTGGTGGGCGTGGGTGTGGCCTCTTTCCTTTCACATGGGGTAGAATTTTTCCTTCCCCTCCTCCCTCCCTCCATCCCTCCCTTCCTCTTTCCTTCTTCCTTCTTCCTTTCTTCTCCTTCCTCCCTTCCTTCCTTCTTCCTTCTTACCTTCCTTCCTGCCTTCCTTCTTCCTTCTTACCTTCCTTTCTGCCTTCCTTTCTTCTTTCTTTCCTTCCTTCTTTCCTTCCTTTCTTCCTTCCTTCTTCCTTCTTCTTCCTTCCTTCTCTTTAGACAAGAATTTCACTGTGTGGCTGGGTGGAGCCCTCCCCAGCCTCCTGTGCTGTGGTTACAGATCAGTGTCACCTGTGTGTCCCTCTGTCAACTCCACCTCCTTCCTCTCTATCCCCAGGACCCTCTTCCTCTTTCCTGTAACCTCAGGATGTTGGAGAGAGTGTCTTTTCACAGGAATCAGCTCCCTTCAGTGCAGTGTACACAGTTAGGTACTAGTGAGCTTGGCTCCCTTCGGTGCAGGCTCACACTTACACAGTAGCGAGCTGAGCTTCATGGAGAGGGCCAGTGTCAAAAACCGGGCAAAGCGAGTGAAGGGGGAAGGTTGAGCTGGGCTCACACTCGAGGAAGGGATGGAGGCTGTCTTGGTGGGTTGGCCAAGTGTGTCAGGAAGCCACGAGCAGACAAGGAGTGGGCTGTCCCCACCTCCCATGACCCACTTCCTTCAGCCTGGCTCCACAACCTGTCTGAGCAGCCCTCAGCGGGGAGAGAGTGCACAGACCTGTCTCTGTGGGGCAGCTCATGTTAAAAGCTGACAACTTAGACAGTCAAGTTTTGGAAGATGAAGGGCAACAGAGCTGGGACGTGGTAGTTAGTGAGAGTCCCTTAAGGCTCACTGGAACCCAAGAGCATCTTCCTTAGGCTCCATGGAATGTGAGCACGACACTGTTACTTTTGCTCTGTAGCTGTTACAGGCTCCAGTGTCCCTTTCTGTAAGAAAGGCCAACATCACCCTGAAAGTGTGAGTGCGTCAGTTGCAAAGCTAGTGTTCACAAGAGGGTGAGCTTTGAGGTTCACACTGGTGGGGTCCGGGTGTTCACAGTCAGTAAGGATGCTCACAGTCAGGATGCTCACAGTCAGTCAGGATGTTCACAGTCAGTAAGGATCTCACAGTCAGTCAGGATGTTCACAGTCAGGATGCTCACAGTCAAGTCAGGATGCTCACAGTCAGGATGCTCACAGTCAGTCAGGATGTTCACAGTCAGGATGCTCACAGTCAGGATGTTCACAGTCAGGATGCTCACAGTCAGGATGCTCAGTCAGGATGCTCACAGCCAGGATGCTCACATGCGTGCGGTCAGGACCTCTTCGGTGAGCGCCGCCTCTGTTTCCCAGGCTGTCGTGGGAGGAAGTCCTGCAGCACCCCTTCTGGAAGGATGCGCTGCCGAGGGAAGGTGCAGATGTGGGCTCCGAGGACTGCAGCTTCAGGTAGTGTGGCCATGTACACATGCGCCTGCCATTGTGCTGTTCCCACGTGGAGGCTGCTTCAGGGCGCTCACACAGTTGCTGCTCCGCGTGCTCCTTTTCTCTGGTCAGGGTGCTAGTGCACCAGCTACAGCCTGGCTCACCTGAGCACTGGGAGCCTGCCTTTGAGTACACAGCGGGGTGTGTTGGCCCTGTCCAGCCACGAATTGTGCGAAGATGTGACTCGGGCTCCTGCTGTGTGGAAAGCCCAGGACCAGTGTGTGACTCACTGGCATTAATCCCCCTAAAGATCACGTGAGAGAAAAGGAGATGTGATGGAGTCGCTGTCACCGAGTGCAGAGGGGTGTGATGACCTTGGCTTTCCTGCTGGCCTTCCACGCTGTGTGCACAAGTGACCCTAGGTCAGGAGGTCCAGAGCCCTGAGGATGTGGCACTCATGCGTGACTCATCAAGTGTGTCCTGCAGGCTTTCGTTGGTGTTATAAACTCTGCCTTGGGCACTAGCGCCGAGCAGGTGTTAGCTCCCTTCCCTTTGCTCCCTGGTGCATGGCTGCTCTGGTTTCAGTCGTGTCAAGTTCAGTGTGTTGTGTGGAGAGGTCGGAGCTTGTTGACTGAGCATCGGTGACCCAGCATGCGGCAGCCGTGCTCTCACCATGGTGGGCTTCGGGGCTGCATACACTTAGCAGCACGTACACTACACCAAGGAGAAACTGAGGCGCTCTGGTGTCAGCCAGCTAGGACAGCTCTGACCTCAGTTGTTTATCTAAGTGTGTGTGTGTGTGTGTGTGTGTGTGTGTGTGTGTTCTGTTTGTATGTATGTGGTGTGTGTGTGTACCTGTGCACACGTGTGGTGTTCCTGGGGTTGTAGCTATGTGCCAGGGGAGGCACTCCCGCCTCAGAGCATCAGGTGGTCAGTCACCCCGCTGTCCCCAGTAGCGGTTTCAGAGTTTGCCAGCAGGAAGGTGAACTGTCCCTTCTGTGTCTGCCCTCACTCGGGGTCTGTGTGACAGCAGCAGAGCAGTGACTCTTACGCTAACTTTTCATGGCCTGTGGCCTTTGATCTTGGCCAGGTGACAGTGGGCACTATTGCTTTTTCCTGTGGTGTCCGCACCTTCGTCTGTCTGTCTGTACACCTCTAGTGTGGCTGTTGGCCATCTTCGCTGGGCTCACTGCAGCTGCTGGGGGAAACTGTGTTTGCCTGGTTCTGTAACTCCCTAGGATAAGACACACTTGTGTGCTGTGTGCAAAACCGTGTGGAGTCTGAAGTGAGTGTGTTGTGATCTCTCCAGCAGCAGAAACGCCATGGAATGTTCTGGAGCTCACGACCCCACCAGGGAGCTTGTGCAGAGCCCTCAGAGTGCACAGAGAGGGCAGAAGGGGGCGCCCCGGCTCAGCCAGTCCTTCCGGCTAGGTAAGGCCCGGCTGGGGCCCTTAGTGCTGTGGCCCTCCCAGAGCTCCCACCCAGCCTGCTTTCTTCCCATGTCTCTGTGGGCCACACTGCGCACGGCGATTTTCGTGATTTTTGTCCCCTTTGGCTAACACACTGCTCTTCCGCACAGACAACCCGAGTGAGCTTCGGCCCAAGACCACCGTGGGGGGCCAGCTGAATGAGTCCATATTTCTCCTCAGGTACGTGCAACCTGGCCGTGACTAGAGGGAAGAGGGAGGCCTGAGGCGTGTGTGTGTGTGTGTGTGTGTGTGTGTGTGTGTGTGTGTGTGTGTGTTGGAGACAGAGGGCAGTGTGCATGCCATGTGCCACCTTCACGCAACAGAGGAATCTTGTTCTGTATCTTCTAAAAATGGTGCCTTTGGGGCTAGAGAGAGGCTCAGTGGTTTGGAGTGCTGGCTGCTCTTCCAAAGGACCGGGGTTCAGTTCCCAGCACCCACACGGTGTCTCACAACTGTCTAACTCTGGCCTCTGCGGCCCTGCACTCGTGTGCACAGACACCCATATACGTATAACTTTAAAAGCTGCTGATTTTTTGTGTTTTTATAAATATTAAGAGCTTTTCTCCTAGAGCTTGATCCTCTGATAAACATGACTTTAAAATTGTAGAAGTCTGTGGGTGGGGGAGGTGAGCGCCGAGAGCAGAGGTGAAGCTGGGAGAAAAGGCCACTGCAAGGCACTGCTCCGTGCTCCGGCTCCGACCCGCTCCTGTGCCAGGGTGTGGTCAGGCCTGAGTCCCTCTCCCTCCTGGAGGCTGGAGGTCCCATCTAAACAGACTTCCTGCGGCACCCTCTCCAGTGGCCCGATGGGAATTCCTCACCTGTGTTATTTACAGCTGGGGCTGCCACAGTTGGTGTGGCCGGGGCAGGGGCTGGGGCAGGCACTGTGGTTGGTGGCTGGATTATTGGCTGTGGCCGCCTCTCAAGCAGCAGCTCTTCTCTGCCATTCTAGGCTCCGCCCTGTCTGAGGCCATGGGGAAGTTCTGTTTGATGGTTGCCTTCCTCATCCCCTTCGCCATGCGAGGCTCCCTGGGGGCCCCCAGCCGTCCCTGCCGCTTTGACTCCATGCCAGACCTGGTGCTGGAGCGTCTAAGCTTTACCATTAAACATCAGCGAGTCTCTAAAAATATTAATAACAATTCAGACATCCAGCGCTCTCATCTGAATAAGGTTTTCTCGGAAGGACAGGTTATTCTGTCCTTGTTTGTTTGAGTCCCTCTTCCTCCCTCTTCCTCCCTTCCTCTCTCCCCTTTGCCCTCCCTCCATCAACGTCCACGTGTGTGACGCCCCTCGTGACCGACGCCTCGTGACCGATGCCTGCGGCCTGTGTGTTGTGTTCTTGAAATACATTGTATGTGGGACACATGCCATGTTTATAAGCATTGAAAGAATAAAGATGTCTGTGTAAACAAGCAGTTGATTGGAGTGACGGGGCAATGTGTGGAGAACACTACCTTTCAATAGAGGTAGTGTCTTGGGGTGTGTAGGCTGTCTTACTGGCTGAGCATTTCCTTAGAGTGCACAAAGACCTGAGGTCAACCCTCGGTGCCAGAGAAGAAACAGAAAGCCTTGCATGGGGGAAGTTTTACTTCATTTGAATCTATAATGGGTTAAAATGTCTTGACCTGTTTTATGCATATTTGGGTGTAAAGTACGCTAAGTTTACTTTGTATGTATTTTGGGCACTTTAAATAGACTGTTTTAGAACCAATATCTGGTGTGTTTGATGTTAAGACTCACCCAGTGAGTGAGTAAACAGGAGGTGGGGATGTGATCCGTGGGGATGGGAAGGAGGTAATTTAAGCAGACTCTGATGAAAGGGAGGATTTTCAGTGCGAGAAATGGAGACCGGAGATGCAGGAGCCGCGATCAGGCCGGAAGCACCACGCCGGCAGACATTTGCACAGCTGCACTCCTGCCTGTCTGAGCACGTTCAGAGAGACAGGGCTTGACCTTCAACTGCAAACATTCTATCCTTTATGGACCATTTCCTGTATTTCAGCGTTAATCCTCCCCGTCCCACCAGGCAGCCAAAAGAGAATAAAATTCCTATTCTAAGGTTCCTAACCAGAAAAGGTTAATCCACAGTTCTGCTGCAAACCTTAAGGAAAGTCAGCTTCCTACCCCAGTGGACATGACAGCAGGAAGGCAGGCCATCGGCAAGAAGGGGCTCGAGACAGCGGGGACCACACAAGAGGGGTGGTGGGTGTGCACATTCCTGAAAACATCCTCATAGAAGCCGTCATTAGCAGATGCTGATGCCTGGCACGGTGGGCACACCTGTCATCCCAGCACTTGGGAGGCAAAGGCAGGCGGATCTCTGTGAGTTCAAGGCCAGCCTGGTCTACAAAGTGAGTCCAGGGCAGCCAAAGCTACACAGAGAAACCAAAACAAAAAACCCAGATGCTGACGACACATTAAACATGTGGCGAATATTTTTAAAAAGGTTGTATGTAACACGTAATCTAGACATAAGTAAAGGGTTACCCAGAAAACTACCTGCAGACAAAAACAGGGCCAGCGCGAGGCTGAGCAGACGGCGGCGTGGCTGCACTCCGGGGAGGCCCGAGCCTGGGGACCAGCTGTGCTGAGCCGCCCTAGACCTCCACATGTGTGAGTGGTACACGTGCCACCATGTTAAAAGACGCAGCTGCAAAAATTACAGAACCGTTAAACAGGTCTCGAGCTGTTTATATGCTGAGCATCTGCAAGCGGCAGAACCCTGCCGTCCTCCTGCCGTCCTGCCATCCTCCTGCCGTCCTCCTGCCACTCTGCCATCCTCCTGCCGTCCTCCTGCTAGGAGAGAGGGAACGAAGGCGTCATTTCTGTGGCCGTGATAAGCTGTTGTGTGTTTTTCAGCTCACGGCCCACTCCGAGGACAAGTGCCATGGTGGAATTAAGTCCTGGAGACGGGGAGGACCCCAGCTCACCACAGAAGACCTCTCCTTTCCCCAAGGTGAGCCGCTAGGGATTCATAGAGCATCACAGACACGTGAGTCCTCCCGTGAAGATGCCATTGACCACACTGCGGCCCCTCATCACCTCCTCTTTTCCTAGGATGGGTCCTGGGAGGTACTCGAGGAGGGTGTTCAGTGGCGATTCCATGGAGGCTTTCCTGGACTCCCAGGTTGTGAGAACACTATCCCAGCCAATCAGAGAACGTGTAAAATCACCCTACAAGGAAAGCTTGCAACTGTTGGCTGCCCTCACACTCCTGTCCCGGGTCTCCTAAGTGTGCCTGCTCTGGCACACTCATAATTCCGTGTCAATGGGATTATAGAATGTATATTCGTTAATTGCTATTGTTTGTGTGTGTGCCTGTGCACGCCCACAGACCCGATGCAGCGTATATGTGCATTGCTGTTTAGGTCTTTAGAAGCAGCGCAACACTTCAGCGAGAACGTTTAAACCCTAGAATGTAATTTTGTGAGTACCCAGTAAGACAGAAGTGGTGGCGTGTTTTGCGGATGAAGGGTGGGGCAGGCTCCACCCTAAGCCCGGCCCAAGCTGAGCCCTGTCAGTGGTGAGAGTGTGGGTGTGCCCAGCCGGTCAGCAGTGAGAGCATTGGTGTGCCTGGCCATTGCACTCCGACAGTTTTCACGTGTAAAACGGGAACAGCACACGCAGCTGAGGGTTTTTGTGAAGCCCGGTCTGGCTGATGGTGCCCTGGCAGTGGGCCTGTCACAGTCCTTTACACATGCAAAGTGTGGCCTATGCTCTCGTTGCAGCTGCCCATCGGGCACCTGAGCCAGGGGGCGCTGGCCTCCCAGATGAGGGAGCTGATCTACACGGACTCCGACCTGGTGGTCACCCCAATTATCGACAACCCCAAGGTGCAGAGAGGTGCCCGCCTGGTGTGCTGTGAGCGTGAGGGGGGTGCGTGTGCCTCACTGTCTCACTCATTGCCTCAGCTGCTTGTCCCGTGTGCGCTCTCCCATGTCCACTGTGTACGCTGTTCTGTGTGCTGTCTCCTGTCCCATATGCATTGTCCTGTGCTGCCCCATGTGTGTTGTCCCCTGTGCACTGCCTCGTGTCCAATGTGCTCTGCCTAATGTGCTCTGTCCCATGTGCACTGTGTGAGCTGTCCCATGTGCGCCGTCCTGTGTCCCATCTGCACTGTCCTGCGCTGTCCCATGTCCCGTGTGCTCTGTCCCACACTGCCCTCTGCTCTCCTTCGAGGGCACAGCCCTGCAGTGTGCACTTCCGTCCTGCTCTGCTTGATCACACTGCTCACGTGTGGAGGAGAGCCACCAGCCTCTAGGCCCCACACTCAGCTCTCAGCCCAGCTGTGTGGATAGAGCCCTGGCAGGTCAGGTCACTGGGATGTGGCAACACAAGAGCGGGCTCAGTGTTGGGCAGGCGCGGGCCGCCCATCTCAAATGGCATCTGCAGTGATGGCGACACTGCATGGCCTGTGCTCTGGGCTGCAGCATGCCCTCTGCTTCTGGAACAGCCGAGGCTCATGGGCATTCACCGTGGAGCGCGGTATCTGTGTCCCTGCTCACCTTCATTTTATTCCCAGCCCCACACACTCACCCTCTTCCTCCTGCTCCGGGTTTTATTCTTTAAGCTTTTGTGTTTTAAAAGCGTCTTTTCCACACTCATCTGGGGGAATTTCCCTCGCTCTCATCTGGGAGTGTGTTCATGTCCCAGACAGACGGCCTTTGCCTTGCACAACCATCTCCCTACAGGACGGCATCTTTCAGGTGTCACACTCCGGCAGCCATCTTGGTTTTGCTGGGCTCCGAGGGGACCGGTGGCCTTGCACAGTGGCCTGGGACTCTGTTGCTGGAAGGCTTCTTTATTCCTTACCAAGTTTTTAAATCTAAATATTCTAAAGCTCTATTTTGAAACTAAGTTTCGAGTCAGGAGAAGTGTTCCTGGCCGGTGGAGGCATGCCCTCTCCACCTGGCCGAGGCCGGCGGTTGGCAGGTCCACAGGCTGACCAGCGCTGCACCAGTTTCACCCGCTGGGCCTCCAATGTCCTGTCTGCCCGAGGCCCACATCACACTTGGCCCCTTTCATCCCCAGAGGTCTGTCTGTCTGTCATGGCTGTGACATGTCCTGGGTTTTCCTGCCTGTAGCACTTGGCTGAGTGCTGGTCGGGTGTTCTGTGCAGTGTCGTTAGTTGCGATTTATCCAGGGATTTGTTGTGGGTTAGACTGTCACTTTATCATTTCTGTCAAGGATGTCTGTCTGTGAGGGCTGAGGAACCGCACACAGCTCTGCAGACCTCACGCACCCTAGCGGCTGGTCAGCTCTCAGGGTGAAGGGCTCCACGCTCCTGCAGTGAGCCACGTGATTTCTCAAGTGATGTTTGTGATAAACTGTTTACATGTCTTCCCGTCTCAGAACCAGCCATCCAGTCCTCACTGTCCTTTCACACCTGCCCATGGCACGTCAAGACCCCAGCCCCCCTCCCCCAGCTATTCCCAAGACCCCAGCCCCCCTCCCCCAGCTATTCCCAAGACCCCAGCCCTCCCAGCCCCAGCTATTCCCAAGACCCCAGCCCCCCCAGCCCCATCTATTCCCAAGACCCCAGCCCCTCTCCCCCATCTATTCCCA